TCCGGTTTGTCAACAGGGAAACCCTTTGATCTAATGTCTTTGAGCGATCGATATCACAACCGGTTTTTCTTTCAAGTGTTTCCAGCATGAGGTGTTTGTTTTCACGACTCTCTGTGCTTGTCTACGTAATCTTCAGTGAGATAATTCCAGCCGTTTGATGAACACTTGGCGCCGATCCTGACTAGTACACAGCCTATTCATACAGCGGTGACGGGTTTGTGTCTCTGGTATTACTTTGCTATTTACCAACACGTAGATGAATCAGCTTGAAACGACAACAATGCGCACTAAAGCGACGCAAGCAAAAAGTATCTGTTCAGCTTTACAAGTCAGCTTTACACGGGTGACTGATTGCGTTTGTGCTAGAAAGCATCCATCAGTAAACAACAAGGGGTGCCTAGAGTGGCTGTAGCATGGGGGTTGGTTAGGAGGGGGGGGGGGGGGGGTATTAGCACGCCTGAGAATTCCCTAGTTACAGTCATGCCAATTGCCATGTATTACACAATATCCATAAAGTAAAAAATAGTTTCGTAGAGGAAAAGCAACAACTAGAAAACTCTTTTACTCTGTGTACGTTTCGGGGTCCCATTGTCTGGGTGAGGGAAAAAAAGGAGGGAGGGGGGGGGGGGGGGGGAGAGGCAGAATACACCCACTGCCTCCTTAAAAAGCCTGTTGCAAGAATCGACAAATTACGAGTTTCCTTCGAGTGCATCCGCCTTAGAGGCAATGAACAAACAGTCTGCATACAAATGAGCTTGATCTGTAGAACAGATGTGCACGCAAAACTCAAGTTCTGAAACAAGACTGTAGTCTAGAAATGCACTAACAATCAGAACTTTCCGCCGGAGTTTACAACCGGTGAAAGCGAAGGAGGAGGATGATGATGACGAGGAGGAGAAGAAGAAGAAGAAGAAGAAAAAGCTGTCCCGGAAAACACCAGCAACTGTAACAATAACCGCAATGTTCATCTATCAACTTCAGTAACATAACGATATTATGATGAAGTGTTAACCTAAATTAAGACACTTTATAGTTTAAAAATGCATGATATTCAACCTGGCATCCCGCCTGTGGGTAGCCCATGTTCGCATCCATCCTTCATTGAATCCCTCTGGGAGTCTGTTCTCGGGAAACCTGAATATTTCAGAGATCATCTGAAAAAGTGTAGCCATAGAAACCATACAACAACCAAAGACATAACGTATGTTTCGCCAGCTCATTTCTGGCGGCTTTCTGCTCTGCAGACGAGATTTCAAAAGATGTCTCCCAGTAATCGTCCAACGATATGTTCGATTACTTTAGTCTCGCTTCCATCCCCTTCGGCTCTATAATTTTCTAATATGGTTCCCAGCGGACCCGTCACAGTTTGCAAGTCGCCTGGCTGTATCATGAAACGACCATGATTAAAATTTGGAGGGAAAGAATTCACAACTGTCTTCTCTCTCTTCACTTTTTTATGACCGGTCTGCAAGTTTCGGTTACATTTTTTTTTTTAAATAGCAAAATTAGGGAGCGCCGGATCCAAGGAGCTTTGTCACTCCCCACCCCCACCGCCTCCAAAAAACTGTTCTTAGTTTCCCGAAGTTCTGTGGTTTCAAAGTTTGGCTCTCCTCCGAGTAACGGGCTCATGTTATGGCGGCTAAAAACAAAGCTGCAAGGAGATGCAGAAGCTGCTGCTCGTAAGTCCCAGCCATCTAGTTCAGCCGCAATCCACACCACGTGAGCGGCGTGGGGCGATACTCTCAGTGGTGGGGGTAGTCGCCGGAAGTCAGAAATTAAGTCGCCGGAAGTGCGCAATTGACATGTGAATGAGGCTCTGTTGGGGTGTGTTTGCGGCCGCCATAATATGTGCCCATTATTCGGAGGATAGCCTAAAATTTTACCAATTTCATTGGTTTCAAATATTTCTCAGTTTTGATAGTTGTAATGTTCTACAAGTGTATTGGTGTCAATATACACACATTGTAATAGTTTCAAAAAATCATCAATTTTAGATGTACCGAAGGTTACTAAACATTTGAGAAATGTCACACACTGTATGCTGCCCGGAAATGGCGGGAAGAAAGGCAAGGTGGCGGGTAACTTGTGAACCAAAGCCAGGCAGGGGACAAATTATGACTGTCCCGCCACGTCGCCGTAACATCTAATTCTCCGCTTTGTAATAGCTAAAATGCCTGCATTAAACGGTTACATCGTAATTTTTCTTGAGTAAATTTATTTAGATAATAAAATCAAATTTGCCCGTTTTCACACATCCATTAAATCCCGTTGAAAATATCAACATGTCATGTCTTTATTCCAAGAAAGTGGTGTTCCGTTAGTTTGAAAGGTATATTGTCACTGCTGGCAAGCGTGCACTTAAAACCTGTCAGCGTATGTGGTAGGTGTCTTAATGCATCTCATATGTGCTGTATCGCTGTGTGCTATCTTTGCTTGTTTGGCCCATCTTTGTCGCGTCTGATCTGAATAAATGTTTGGCAATGAGCAGTTTAATGTCTGGTAATCGATGGGGTGAGAACATGGAGAAAGAGAACGTGCGGGGAGGGGGAGGGGGTAGAACATGGAGAAAGAGAACGTGGTTACGCGGGTGTAGAACATGGAGAAAGAGAACGTGGTTACGAGGGGGGGAGAAAGAGACCGTGGTTATGCGAGAAACATGGAGAAATGGAACCTGGTTACGAGGGCGGGGGTGTAGAACATGGAGAAAGAGAACGTGGTTATGGGGGTGTAGAACATGGAGAAAGAGAACGTGGTTATGGGGGTGTAGAACATGGAGAAAGAGAACGTGGTTATGGGGGTGTAGAACATGGAAAGAGAACGTGGTTATGGGGGTGGTTATGAGAGAAAGAGAAGAGACAGAGGGTGTAGAAACATGAGACAGAGAAAGAGAATGGGGGGTTATATGGGGACGTTGGTTATGAATAAACAAAACATGAAAGAAAAACATGGAGAAAGAGAACGTGAATCGTAACTCTATAATTACAGAGAGAAAGAGAGATGAGAGAGAGAAAGAGAGAGTAGAGAGACGAGAGAGAGAGCGAAGAGAAAAAAGAGAGAGAGAGAGAGAGAGAGAGAGAGAAGAGAGAGAGAGAGAGAGAGAGATGGTGATATCTCTCCCAACTGTGACACAGAAGGTTTCAGTCTGACAGGCCGACCAGCACGCCCTACTGGTCTGCTACTGTGACACTAAATTACCTCAGTGCTGATGGCAGACTAGCAGGCCAGGCCCAAATACCATGTTCAGCCTCTAAAGAAATCATAATTAGGGCGCCCCTAACTGCTATGCCAGACCATTGTAACATGCAGCCCTTAGCCGGTAAAGACTGGGACAGAGAACTGAAGCGTGTGTCTCTTGTTGTATTCAAAACGAACGGCATAAATCGAGAATATCGCAGCGTCCCCTGTCAATTCGAGCCATTATTCTGGTCGACTGGCCGGCGGAATCTATCTAATTTATACAGACACCATCGAGCTGTGGCACCTACCAGAGGGACACTGACCACTTGGGACGCGGCCGCAGCTTCCACTAATCTGCAATTAAGTCTCGGTCAATCATAGGCCTATCGATCTCCTTCTGGAGATGGTGCCTAGGCGAAAAGTAGGTCACACTTGCGTCAACTGAACCAGAGTGTGTCCTGGGATGAAGCCGCAGATCCGGTTACTCTTTGTCTTTTTTCGTCATTGGGACTTTATGCTGAACCATTTGTATCGCGGCCTGACGGGCGTGGAGTCGTTTCACGGACTGCCACACTCGGTTCACGGGTGCAGTTTCTACTCACACCCCTTGGGACCGTCTCCGGAAGTAGGGGGTTTATGCTTTGTGTGACAGGCGGCTTCTCGATCTGTGGATGGAGAGCCCGCCATGTGAGATCAAGACTGGAACAGTGCAGGGCTACAAATGCTGCCCCGCCCCCTTCCGCCACACCAGATCTAGGTTTTTATTATGACGCTTTGGGTTCCAATTTTAAAATGTTGTGGGTTTTAAAAAAAATGTATCCTTGTTAAAAGTGAGTAAATGTTTCCTTTTGTAACTATACAATTTGTACTTTTTTTAACAATCTGGTTTTTGGTTCTATTCGTATGTATTGCTTGGTTTTTGTTGAGCTTTTTTGGGTTTTCCCCAAATAAAATCTCGTTGGCAGCCCTAGTCCAGTGACGTCATCCCCCAACTTTAAACATTTAATTTGTCCTTGGTCACTTGTCCCGCTTATACGGTGTAACACTGTTCTATTTCACTCAGAGACTGGTTGTTTGGTCGCTTGGCCCGCTTATACAGTGTAACACTGTTCTATTTCACTCAGAGACTGGTTGTTTGGTCGCTTGGCCCGCTTATACGGTGTAACACTGTTCTATTTCACTCAGAGACTGGTTGTTTGGTCGCTTGGCCCGCTTATACGGTGTAACACTGTTACATTTCACTCAGAGACTGGTTGTTTGGTCGCTTGGCCCGCTTATACGGTGTAACACTGTTACATTTCACTCAGAGACTGGTTGTTTGGTCGCTTGGCCCGCTTATACGGTGTAACACTGTTACATTTCACTCAGAGACTGGTTGTTTGGTCGCTTGTCCCGCTAATACGGTGTAACACTGTTACATTTCTCACAGAGACTGGTTGTTTGGTCGCTTGGCCCGCTTATACAGTGTAACACTGTTCCATTTCTCACAGAGACTGGTTGTTTGGTTGCTTGGCCCGCTTATAGATTGTAACACTGTTCCATTTCACTCAGAGACTGGTTGTTTGGTTGCTTGGCCCGCTTATACGGTGTAACACTGTTCCATTTCACTCAGAGACTGGTTGTTTGGTCGCTTGGCCGGCTTATACAGTGTAACACTGTTCCATTTCACTCAGAGACTGGTTGTTTGGTCGCTTGGCCCGCTTATACAGTGTAACACTGTTCCATTTCACTCAGAGACTGGTTGTTTGGTCGCTTGTCCCGCTAATACGGTGTAACACTGTTCCATTTCACTCAGAGACTGGTTGTTTGGTCGCTTGGCCCGCTTATAGAGTGTAACATTGTTCCATTTCACTCACAGACTGGTTGTTTGGTCGCCGAAAAATGTGCACATGTCTAATAAAATGTGCAACCGCCATGGCTTTTATATGAACATAAAGAAAGGAAATGTTCACCACATTATATTTTTTCAGTGACCTAAAAGTTGTGCGACGTCCTTCATCTTTAGTGTTCGGTTTTATGTTAAGCTGGAAGATTTGCTTTTGGGCACTACTGCACCCACTACAGCACCGACTGCAGCACCCACTACAGCACCCACTACAGCACCCACTACAGCACCCACTACAGCACCCACTACAGCACCCACTACAGCACCCACTACAGCACCCACTACAGCACCCACTACAGCACCCACTACAGCACCCACTACAGCACCCACTACAGCACCCACTACAGCACCCACTACAGCACCCACTACAGCACCCACTACAGCACCCACTACAGTACCCACTACAGCACTGACTGCAGCACCCACTACAGCACCCACTACAGTACCCACTACAGCACCCACTACAGCACCCACTACAGCACCCACTACAGCACCCACTACAGCACCCACTACAGCACCCACTACAGCACCGACCACCCACTACAGCACCCACTACAGCACCCACTGCAGCACCCACTACAGCACCCACTACAGCACCCACTACAGCACCCACTACAGCACCCACTACAGCACCCACTACAGCACCCACTACAGCACCCACTACAGCACCCACTACAGCACCCACTACAGCACCCACTACAGCACCGACTGCAGCACCCACTACAGCACCCACTACAGCACCCACTACAGCACCCACTACAGCACCCACTACAGCACCGACTGCAGCACCCACTACAGCACCCACTACAGCACCCACTACAGCACCCACTACAGCACCCACTACAGCACCCACTACAGCACCCACTACAGCACCGACTGCAGCACCCACTACAGTACCCACTACAGCACTGACTGCAGCACCCACTACAGCACCCACTACAGCACCCACTACAGCACCCACTACAGTACCCACTACAGCACTGACTGCAGCACCCATTACAGTACCCACTACAGCACCCAATACAGCACTGACTACAGTACCCACTACAGCACCCACTACAGCACCCACTACAGCACCCACTACAGTACCCACTACAGCACCCAATACAGCACTGACTACAGCACCCACTACAGCACCCACTACAGCACCCACTACAGCACCCACTACAGCACCCACTACAGCACCCACTACAGCACCCACTACAGCACCCACTACAGCACCCACTACAGCACCCAATACAGTACCCACTACAGCACCCATTACAGCACACAATACAGCACACAATACAGTACCCACTACAGCACCCACTACAGCACCCATTACAGCACCCACTACAGCACCCAATACAGTATCCACTACAACACCCACTACAACACCCATTACAGCACCCACTACAGCACCTACTTAAATCATGTCCTATGATTAAACGATATTAAACAAAACGAAAAGTAGACCAGTCTGCTTCATAATATCACAAACACAAACCAGAAGTGAACGTTGTGGCTAGAGAGCATTCATCAGCACATTACATAAATCAACAGTACTACAAGTATAAACAAGAAAAAACACAATCACTTAACTGACGTATTTCCGATAACCATCACGTTGCTGTTCGGCCAGTGAGTGACGTACCAACCTAACTGGAAACCTGGCCAGTTGATTATAGAAGCTGTTTGTCGTCTAGCTGAGATCATTTGAAATAATGCAATTATTTTAGCTGCAATTTGTCCCCCCCCCCCCCCCACCTATGTCCCTATACCAGTAATTGTTGACTTCATTTGTCTGACACACACACACACACACACACACACACACACACACACACACACACACACACACACACACACACACATATAACTGGCAAGAATATATCGCTTCCCCCCCCCCCCCCCCCCCTCCTTCCCCAGTACTCAGGAAAACATACATGGGTTATTTTCGCGCAGTGTTATTATATGGTTAACTTAAGCAGCATCAAATAATTATCTGTAACTTGCTTCTAGAATAAAAAGAGAAAAAGAAAACGGGGGCTTACACAGATCAGGGGCTGTCACAGATCGGTGGCTGTCAGAGATCGGGGGCTGTCAGAGATCCGTTTCTGTCACAGATTGGGGGCTGTCACAAATCGGAAGCTGTCACAGTTTGGACGCTGTCACAAATCGGAAACTGTCACAGATTGGAGGCTGTCACAAATCGGAAACTGTCACATTGGAGGCTGTCACAAATCGGGAACTCACAGATTGGAGGCTGTCACAAATCGGAAACTGTCACAGATTGGAGGCTGTCACAAATCGGAAGCTGTCACAGTTTGGAGGCTGTCACAAATCGGAAGCTGTCACAGATTGGAGGCTGTCACAAATCAGAAACTGTCACATTGGAGGCTGTCACAAATCAGAAACTGTCACAGATTGGAGGCTGTCACAAATCGGAAGCTGTCACAGATTATAGCCTGTCACAAATCGGAAACTGTCACAGATTGGAGGCTGTCACAAATCGGAAGCTGTCACAGATTTGAGCCTGTCACGAATCCGAAACTGTCAAACATTGGAGGCTGTCACAAATCGGAAACTGTCACAGACTGGACGCTGTAAAAAATCGGAAACTGTCAAAGATCAGGGGCTGTAACAGATCAGGGACTGTAACAGATCGGGGGCTGTCAAAGAACAGGGGCTGTAACAGATCAGGGGCTGTAACAGATCAGGGGCTGTAACAGATCAGGAGCTGTAACAGATCAGGGGCTGTAACAGATCGGGAGCTGTAACAGATCAGGGGCTGTAACAGATCGGGTGCTGTAACAGATCAGGGGCTGTAACAGATCAGGGGCTGTAACAGATCGGGTGCTGTAACAGATCGGGGGCTGTAACAGATCAGGGGCTGTAACAGATCGGGTGCTGTAACAGATCGGGGGCTGTAACAGATCAGGGGCTGTAACAGATCAGGGGCTGTCACAGATCGGGGGCGGTAACAGATCAGGAGCTGTCACAGATCGGGGGCTGTAACAGATCGGGAGCTGTCACAGATCGGGGGCTGTAACAGATCGGGTGCTGTAACAGATCGGGGGCTGTCACAGATCGGGAGCTGTCACAGATCATCAGAGCTTCAGAGATTGGCGACCACAAGGAGGAGACGAAAGAAGAGGAGATGAAGGAAAATCACGAGGACAATGAATTGTTCTAGTTTCTGACCGACAACCATTTTTTTAAAGCTTTCCAACGCACCTCTTATACTCATCATCATGTAGCACGTCCTTTGCAGAACGTCGCTCTCATCACAGTCTGCCTGTAAGAAACTCGGTCTCTTGCCAGTTCCCCCGCCTCATGAACGTTCACACTCAAGGAGTCACTTATATCCTGTGCCCATCTTCGTGTCGGTCGGCCTCTGCCCCTCCTTCCTGGTACCATGCCTTCTGCTATAATATTTTCCAGTCCGTCGTGGCGCTTGATATGACCAAAATATTTCAGCTTTCGAGAAGGGATGCTGTTTATTAGCCAATCTTCCTTGATGTTCAGATCTTTTGAGATGTCAATATTTCTCATCTTCTTTGTCCAAGATATTCTGATAATCTTTCTATAGCATTTCAGCTCAAAAGCCCCTATTCTCTTTCTTAAGGACTGAGAGATAGTCTACGACTCACATCCGTATGTAGCCACAGGGAAGATGCATGCTCTCAAAATTCTAATTTTTATCTCCTTGCTGGTGCTTAACCGTAGACTTTTAAGGCTGTTCAATCTTTACATTGCTATGGCCATCCTCCTTTTAATTTATGTCGAATAGTCTCCATTGTTGTTTATTGTAAAGCCTAGGTATTCAATGTTTGTGACATTTTCAATTTCTTCATCATTTATTGTTATTTGTGGGTGACAGCCAGTTTAATCTGTGGACATTATTTTCGTTTTCTTTAAATTCAAGAACAGATTTTGATCTTCACTGTGCTTTTGGACGGACAATATTAAATTTTCTATTCCCATTACGCTGTTCGAAAGGAGGACTGTGTCATCTGCGTGGCGGAGTTCCGGAATAGGGTTTTCACCAATTTTGAGCGGATCCTATATTAGAAGATGAGGTTTACAAACAATAATTACCAATTAAAGATACTTGAGATCACAAAGATGAAGTCAATAAACACTGTTGACATTCTCCTCAACCGTCCTGTGACCCTTTATTAGGCAGTTGCCCGAGACAAGGTCCATAAACCATATAGACAAATGACTCACCGTGTCCAGTGTAACTACTAGCTGGCGACACTAATTCAGTGTGATCAACAGTCCAGTTTCAGCTCACGCAAATAAATCACCAAGGGCAGATGCATCTTCGACAAAGCCCTCACAAAGGAGGGCAGAAATAGTGCCATGGGATAGGATAGAAGGCCTAGAGCAACCAGCTGCTGGCGAAATCTGGAGCAGTTTAGCAAAACGTTCATCAGTCCGTCCCATCTACCATGTTTAAAGCTTTACATGGAATTTGGTGTGTAAATGACCTCGAATGTGGGCCAGTCCAGCTTTTCCATCTTTCAGGAGTTGACCAGCCTTCAATGACCATTATTAAATAGCTCAGTTTGGCTTGCGGAAGATCTTTGTCACTTTAGATGAAAGCGTCTAATTACAGCTCCCTCCTCAGACAAGGGGCGACAATGACGCTGTCCGGAACAAGCGCTTGTTGCCCCTATCTGGTAGTTACTGACTCAAACATCTGCTCAAGGAGAGTTATCTCCCGATACAGGTTAAACGCCCCCTGCGTCTTTTAATGGGAAATCTGGACTGGCCAAGGCGATCAAGTTTTCGCGAAAAAAGAACACGTAGAAAGAAAAGAACTGTATTTACTGCCCATGTTTATGACTTTTTGCGGCCGTGTAGGACAGGGGGTCTTCAGAGTCTGTTCACTTAAATTCAGTGTGCATGTTAATGCTGTTATTCTTTGCCCAGCCACGGGGTGGGGGGGGGGGTGGGGGGACTGCATCTTTTATGTAGGATCGAACATGAGAACTGTGCGCTCCAACCACACGGAGCTAGGATGCTCAAGGGGAACCAAAGTCCATATTAGTACACAATAAAAATGTAAACAAATGAATGAACTTAGCTACAGAGGCGACCTACCGTTGCACTAGTCTTCTTTGCATTCACCGGTTGTAAATTCAGGCGGGAACAATTCTGGTTTTTGTCCACTTCTAAACTTTGGGCTTGTTCGACAACTTAAAATTCTAGTGAAATGGGACTAAAAAGCTTAACGAAAAGGAGAATCAGAAAAACGTGTACAAAACAACACAAAACAACGTTTCGGCCGGTGGCCTTTCTCGAACAAGTAATGAGCTACAACATAAACGTGTTGTATATATTGATATATCACCCCAAAAAAACAAAATAAAAACTAGACGTTTGCATTATAATCACTTTGCTGAAAGGACAGGATTATTAACAGGTGTATTGCTTGTGTTTTTGTTCAGCTAAGCTGTGGTTTTCAAACAAATACCATTGGCAGCCCTGCTTTAGAGCTCCTACAGGGGTCCGCTGTTTTACATGGGTCGTGGAGTGTTGTAGACCGAATGTGGTCTCCCTTAGAGCTCCTACAGGGGTCCGCTGTTTTACATGGTTCATGGAGTGTTGTAGACCGAATGTGGTCTCCCTTAGAGCTCCTACAGGGGTCCGCTGTTTTACATGGTTCATGGAGTGTTGTAGACCGAATGTGGTCTCCCTTAGAGCTCCTACAGGGGTCCGCTGTTTTACGTGGTTTGTGGAGTGTTGTAGACCGAATGTGGTCTCCCTTAGAGCTCCTACAGGGGTCCGCTGTTTTACGTGGTTTGTGGAGTGTTGTAGACCGAATGTGGTCTCCCTTAGAGCTCCTACAGGGGTCCGCTGTTTTACGTGGTTCGTGGAGTGTTGTAGACCGAATGTGGTCTCCCTTAGAGCTCCTGCAGGGGTCCGCTGTTTTACATGGTTCGTGGAATGCTGTAGACCGAATGTGGTCTCCTAAACCTGGGTATTTGATCTCCATAGCCGAGGCTGTATTACTCACGATGGTCATCGTTCGACACCTACACACGCTCGCATCAAAACAGCGCTTCAGTAGACACATCCATATATAGGGCGTGTCCCAATTGCCTGGCTGGGACCGCTAACTCAATCAACCCACAGGCTGTCCCTTCCCCTACCCGTCCAATCTTGTACACAATGTAAATCTTTTGAGCAAATATAGTTATTGGATCAAGCTTTCATAGATTTTCTCCTCCAAAGATCTAGCATCTACTAACCGTAGTACTGTCCTGTAATTGGTAACCAGTCAGGAGTGAACTGTATGGCTATGTGATGTCAAGCTGTTTAACTTCGGGCTCCTTACAACAATGTCCTCCTTACAAGAGACGTGTACTTCAGATAGAGAATATGAAAATGCAAGGAAAAAGTGCTCTGACTTTCATTGTTGATCGTGACCAGCCTGTATAAAAATATGGAAATGGCTGAAAATTAAATGGCCGATTAACTTCTGGTTGGCTGATTTTAAACAGGGATTTTGGTGAGAGGTTCAAGTTGCCGGGATTGAAAGCCGACCAGGCGTCAGTGTCGTTTTAAGCCGCTGCAGCAGGTCGGGATAATGGGGACTGGAGTTCAGGAAAGGTCAAGTCACTACAGTAATCAGAGGAAGAAAAAAAAAAAAACCCGACAAAGGGTTTAAGACCGGAACAGATTACACACACTTGGAATCATTTGCTAGATATCTTTCTACTTCTTCCTACGAGTGCCGATCAATACACTTTCTGTTACTTGCTAGATAGATAACCTCGATCACAGAGGGGATGGAGGCGGGTGATATCTGCAGCAATGTACCTCAAGGGCTTGGCATGAAGAAGCAGGAGACATAAATTAAAGTAACTAAAGATCAGGCATATGGGAAGAGCACAAATATTTTTACAGATCAATCGGCTCTAGGCGGGTACTGTGGTTAACATTACACCGGCCGTTTTTACTTCCCCAGGACATAAATCCTGGTACCCATTTTCGGCTGGGTCGACCTGCGGCGCCCCATACCACGATACAAATCTACGCAGCCAGCTGTGAGTTTTGTTCGCGTCACGTTGGAATTACAAGTCGACTTGCAGCACCTAAGCCAAAGGACGTCCGCGAAGAAGCAGAAAGACATGTCAAAAAAAAAAAAAAAAAGTAAAAGTGGATGCGAAACAAAAGGAATCAAGAGAAGAGCCTGTGGACAGTTGGAAATTTTGGCAGAAAAGATCATTTGTTTCAAGACATAATTAGTGTTACACGAGACAGATGGCTGTGGAGAGGTAACATACAGTATGGACGAGAAGAAGAAGACACAGGAGAATTACACTGGACGACGAAGTAATGTTTTATTTATATTATTGTTTGCAGCATAGTTCCCACATTCAGTTGAGTTATTTTGATTGTGTTGTGTTTGTTCAGCTATGATCCTAGTGAACGCGAAATCCCGTCAAATACCGCCATGTTTCTTTTCTGCCACTCCTCGCCTTTTGATTGGCTCCAGTAGAGTGGTTTCCCTTTGAATGCTTAAATTCTGTTTCCGGTGGGGAAATTTGGTTTAAAACAAATAAGATTATGTGTCCTTAATTGTTTTCTCGGGCCGGCTGTGGAGAGATTCAAGATTGTGTGGGGATTTCAGATTTTCCCGCCTGATCTGATTTTAAGATCTCGTGCAAATTGTTTGAAGTGCGAAACGGCTACAGAAATTTGCGACGCTGGATTTGTTTCATGGAATTGTTCCGTGTGTTTTGCCTCCTCTGTTTATCCTTAAAGGAGTTGTTTTAAAGGCTGCTCCAGTTTCTTTGTTAATTTATCTCATGTTGAGTTTAATTCTGTGTGTTTGATTGTTTTGAAGCTGTTTCTAAAACTGGGGAGGTGGAGAAACAAACAGGGAGAAAGAATGAGAACGAAAAGAAGAAGGAAGAGGCATCAAATAAATTTGCATCCATCTGTTAATCTTTGTGTCTGTCTATATGTCTGTATGTCCCCCCCCCCCCCCTCCCCTTCCCTCCCTCCCGAAAAAAAAGATCCACATACACACTTTCCTTTGCAAATTGATTATTCACACTAAACTATATTTATCTCTGCGTTTCCAACAGTTCAGTGTTTTCTTGTCCCCGACAAAGATATCTCTGCAGCCTCGTTATGTTGTGGCAGGGTTGCCAGATAAAAAACTTCATTTTATGCCAAATTTGTGGATTCTGGCATTAAAAATGCCAATATGGCAACCCTGTGTTGTGGTCGTATCTCTTGCACCGTGGTTTTGTTCTGGCGTTTCAAGCCTTTCTCTGGCTTTCTCGGATGTTTCGCCCGCTTTTCCTCAACTTCTTCCGGATGCTTTCACTGTAAACCTTCCCTGGGAAAAAGATTTATGATAAACTTTAAGGTTTCTGTGTGTGCTAACTGGGGTGTGTAGGTCGCGTACAAACCCCAGAACTTCACCAGTGTTGGCTGGGTTCCATCTGGTGTCTGCTTCTCTGGAAATCTTCTCATCTTCGCGCCCACCCTGGATGTAAACCAACAGCATATCCAAGTTGTTAGTTCACTCCAGGATTATAGTCTTGTTCCAGAATTGGACTTTTGCATGCACATCCGTTTTACAGATCTGGCCTATGTGTGCCGACTGTTGGTTCCTTGCCTTACAGGTTGATGCACTACCACTGCGAAGGAAACACCTATTTGTTTACTTTCATGACATGCTTGTTAAGAGGGTAGTGCATCTGCCCCTCCCCCACTTTTTTGTCTCTTCCCCCCCCCCTTTTTTTTCCCTGTACACCGGGGGTGCCAGGGGCCGACACGAAGAATTTGTAAATACTACTGAGGATTGGGATGTCCGTCGATGTGTCTATGTTTATATATCTTTCTGTATGTATATAGGCCACTTTGTTTGTTTGTCTGTTCCTTTGTCTCTCTGTTTTTCCTCCTTTTTATTACCATACCATGCTAATAAGTATGACCACAACACTAGCAGCACATTTTTTTTAAAAGCATATTTTGTTAAGGACTACTGTAAAAATTAAAATCACTGTGTTGTGAGTAAGGAAGCCTGTTTTCTGTCGACTCTGTGAGTTCCAGTAGCTATCCGTAGGAGAAAAATCCTTATCATTTAGTGTGTTAGTGCTGTTTAATGGGAGCCTCCGTTGTATAGTAGTTAGCCCTAGTCTAGCGACCCTTAACCCTGAGACTTCAAGATACCCAACACTGCAACAGCTGTAGATTCAGGCAGTTATGGCCGTTGTTTTAAACGATATGAGAAAATTAGCAGATATCGCAGCCTAGCTGTAAATAACAACAAACAAGCCAATGCGTTTTCGAAGGTGAACGCAGAAGGAAAAAACAACAACATAGAACGGACTCTTCCGGTCTCATTCGCTTCTTTTTGGTTTAGATTTCTGACCTCAGACCCTCACTGCTTCGATTTGTTGTCCTCCCTACCCCATCCT